CGATCTGACTATATTTTATCTTTGTCTTGTTACATAATTGTTTTATTGGTATTTGAACCAAAACCAAACCATGATCAGAGTATACACCACTTGGTAAAACTCTACAATTTGTAGCCTGGAAATCACTAGAACTGGCAATTAAATCGAGTATACCACCAAGATCATGAGTCGGTTTATTTACATGATTTGTTAATTGAAACATTTCAAAAACTTCGAGTAAACGAATGGTTTTCTGATCATTAGCTCTTTCAAGATGAACATTAAAATCACCCGCTAGCAAAACATTTGAACTTAGAACAGAAATATTTTCTAATACATTTACAAGTTCTTCAAAAAACAAAGCACTAACCAATGCCGAGCCAGGTCTGTATACCGCCAACAAAACAAAATTTGTTTTATTTATTATGAATCTAAGAGCAATAGCTTCAAACGTAGTCAGTAATGGTAAACTAACTTCTTTGCATCCAAAACGAGATCTATGAAATACAATCAAACCACCATGATGAGGATCGTGGGGTCTCAAATAATCCACAAAATTAAAGCCCGATGGCATTGACAATTTAACTGAAATATTATCTGACGCCCCATGCCAAGTTTCAACCAACACAAAATTATCCAGCTCATCCAAAATCAATTCATGAACAATATCAAATTTTGAAACAATTGATCTGATATTTAACAAACCAACATTTATTAAATTTACTTTATCTCCGGATGAAATGTTACAATCCTCCACCTTCCCACTGGCCCCACTACTCTGTATAAAAAACCCGACTTATCAGCAGCTTCATCCACTTTTGCCTTGTCACATTGACATTGGTTTTAACTTCTCGCTTAACAATGTCAGCGAACGTATTACCCATTTCATTTTTCAAGTTTGTTATTTCATTACGAACTGACGATTCATTATTATCAAGTCGAAACAATGTACGTTCATTTAACATAAGACTTGCTTTAATATTATTCATTTCTTGTTGGAGTTCATCATTAAATTTATCCAACTTTGACAGAATCTGAGCACTACCAGCCTCAAGATCATTGAACATTTTCTTGAATTCAAAACCTTTTAGTTCGGTTGACGATTCAACACAGTCGTCACAGAACCATTTTAAATTGTTATACGCTTCAACTATCTCGCATATAGGTTCAGTCAAAAGTGTACATTCCAAATGAAAAATACTATTACATCAATAACAGCATACACGTTTTTTATTCACCTTTAATTCTTTCAAACACTTTCTGCATGTACATTTCTCACTTTTAGCTGCAGACATGCCGGCGCACACAAATTATAATGAGCAATCACGTGACTCCAAATTAAAAAAAAAACTTATTCTATAATTAAACTTTATAAATAACTATAATTATAATATTATTTAAACTGATTTATATTAAACTAAATTTACTTAATCGATTATTCTAAAATACAACAGTAATTTATCGAAATTAACGAATAAAATTGAGATTTACTAGCAGCGAAAAATATCCAACCGTTACAGCCAACTAACTAAGTATATATGTATGTATGTATGTATGTTAAAACCAAAACATGATGAGTGACACTGAACCGTCAAACATCAAGTAACAAATGTATTAACACTTTGATTTGTCGTTAATTGCACATGTCGGCATTCAGTTGGATATTTTCAAGCACACAGACACGCAGGAACCGCTGCAACAGGCACGAAATGTGGTTAGTTGCGAAAAACAGTTCCCTGCTGTCGCCTGATCTGACGCTGATCATTTTGCATATTTCCTTAAGAAATTTAAGGGTGTTGGGGTCCATCGGGCCAAGAACCTCGATGCATATTGGCAAGAATTCCATCGAGGGGAGGGCGTTTCCATATTTTTTCATTTTCTCGTCCGCTGCCCTGGCCGCGGCCAAACCGCATTCTTTACTTGTCAGGTTTACGCATCGTTCGGCGAGGGTGCCAGGGACCGTAACATCCCACGCCAAACATCTGCCGGCTCTCCAAGGTATTAGTGTGCATCCGTCCGGGCGCCTACCATCATGCGCAGAAATGCCGGATGGTTCCTTGAGAACCGGGATTGAAGCCTTGGAGAAGAGCCGACAAATGTAATCGTTTAGCGCTGAGTGACGTAGTTGACGGCCCCCACCCAGGCGACAAACCAAACCGTGGTGCCCAAACTCGTCCGCCCCAGCGCCACATTGGCACGTGTATTTATTCTGAATGACCAGGCCAAGTCTGAAGCCAATGGCAAATCTCACAGACTCGTCGTCAAGCCTGCTGCCCACAGAGGTGTTGGGCCACGATCTCAACCACCCACAGCTGGCAACGCTAGACATGGCCTACAAACGAGCGGTGGAAAAGTCGTCGCCGCATGAAGACAACAAATTTTGAAAGATTTTTTTATATTCTTCGTTCAAAATTTGGACGTGCGTACGGTCCCTCGGGGCGGACACTGGGGGAAGAATATCGCGGCAACGAAAAAACCGGTGGAGCAGGAAAGACTGCAGGTCGAGAGTGGCAGCGGCAGAAAAATTATAAACAACGGGAGCCAGCTGAACCACGCTAAGCAACCCCAGCCCACCAAATCGCGCCGGCAGCTGAGCCTGGGACCAACCACTGTCGGTCACTTGAACATTGCAAATCGACGACAGGGCGGTGCGCAGGGCTCCGTCAAATTCGCCCAATTTAGAAGGATCAATGTGTTTAGATGTACGCAGGAAGTACATCAATTTGGGCAAACTGAGGGCATTGCGGATAATAGTCAAAGCATCATGGGCCGAAAGACAGGAAACACGACCCAGGGCGAATTTAAGCTCAGAGAGCTTTTGGTCAAAAAACTTTATTTGATAATCGCCCTCGACCAAGGGTGTGCCTAAAAAACTCAGTTCTGATGCACCAACTCTGAGTATTTCAGCCAGCGCATGTGGCACCTGAAATAAACTTTGGCAGTGAAGTTCGCATTTTTTAATGTTTAACTCTAAGCCAATTGCAGCGGAGTTGTGCTTCAAATATTCGTAGCCATCGGCCAGAGTTGGACGTCCGAAGCTATGCTGAATGGCAAAAATTATAGATATTGGGGCAAAAAAGTTTGACAGCCTCCAACATCGAGTCTCTTCTCAAGGTATTGAAGGCATTTTTAAAGTCCAGTTTCAGAAACCCCCATTGATCGGGGAGGTCGGTGACCAATCTTCGAACCGCATGAACAGCAGCCTCAGCGCCACCCTTAATCCCGACACCCAACTGAGTCGGGTAGAACTTGGTCTTGAGTTCGACCACGACCAGGGCCAAGGCACATTTGCCGGCCAACCTCCTCTAAACGTTCCCGACCGCAATCGGTCTGACCCCTCCGTCTTTCTTATTTAAAGCTATTAGCCGGCCTCCAAAAAAGAACAGACGGACGGAGAGTGGGCAAGCTCCAGATAGGATGTATGTATGTATGTGTGTATGTGTGTATGTATGTATGTATGTATGTATGTATGTATGTGTGTATGTATGTAGGTATGTATGTATGTATGTATGTATGTAGGTATGTATGTATGTATGTATGTATGTATGTATGTATGTATGTATGTATGTATGTATGTATGTATGTATGTATGTATGTATGTATGTATGTATGTATGTATGTATGTATGTATGTATGTATGTATGTATGTATGTATGTATGTATGTATGTATGTATGTATGTATGTATGTATGTATGTATGTATGTATGTATGTATGTATGTATGTATGTATGTATGTATGTATGTATGTATGTATGTATGTATGTATGTATGTATGTATGTATGTATGTATGTATGTATGTATGTATGTATGTATGTATGTATGTATGTATGTATGTATGTATG